GATAAAGTGAGTGAGATAAAGTATTGTAGAGTTTTTTATCTTAGTCGTCCTGCCGCTGTATCGGATGCGATGTAAATTGAGAGTTAGGTGAAATTAGGATGCTTAGACTCTGAGATAATATTTGCCAGTATTCTATTAAATTTCCCTCTAAGAATTTCTGGAGGGAAAAACATATCTCGCCTGTCAAAGTTGATGGTTCAATTCAGTGTAATTTTTGCAATGTTGTTTTATCATAATTATCAATTTGTGTAATGTTTGAATTACTAATCATTTGCTGTTATTATGTAGCTAATTAGAGATTTATACATCTCTTGAACTAATTTGCAATGATTCCATATAATTGTTTTTGTGACAGTTCAAATTCTTATTAGAAAATTATAAATTTATATGCATAAATATGCATATATATGATTCCGCAGCTTGACAACAAATTCGCTGAAAAGAGACTGTTCACTGAATTCAATTGTTTCTCCCTGTCCTAACAAGATTGTTGCACAAATTGAAATGTTGTAAGTAATGAGTACTTTTATCATGATACTACGAATCATCTCGATAATCAGCAGCTTATTTGTGACCAACGATTAGTTTTTTCTGGCGTAAAGGAATATTGGGACGCACGAAACCTAGAATTGAGACATAAATACATGCATCAACACATCATTATACCTCTTTTCTTTATGTATGCTCAAAAACTGGTTGATTCGACGAAGAATTAGTCTGTTAAAATTATGAATCAGATGAGTACAATATCCTGTATTTCTAATTTTGCTTTAATTCACAACATTACATCTTGTGACACCAAGTGGAGTAGTTCTCACACTGTATAACAACTTCTACGTGGAATATACGGTTTCACCCTGTTTCGCTCATGCAATGCAGCGACCATGATAAGCATGATTCAGTCTTATTTCTTTGTAAATATAAAGCGACCTCCAATTTTAAGGGGAACGTGAGAATGTTCATCCTTTTTTCAAAAATAGCTGAAATGATATCCTAATCTAGATAACTATCTCTAGTTATCTTCTGGTCGTATTTTGGAATGATTTACTGCTTCAACAATGCGGAGTGTCACTTAATTTTATAAATCCTGATGTCAGCTATCAGTTTATTAGCCCTTAAAGCCGTTTTACATGGCAACAGGGGCTATTACCATTGATGGTCTAATTTATTGCGAAGTAACGGTAATGTGGGAAACCACAACGACTGATAGACATGAAAACGTTAGACCTATGAAATCATGCCGACAGATCTGTATACTCTGAATCGTCTGGATTTCATGTCTTACAAACTGAACGAGTGAAAAGTGAAAAATGACAAGTTGGCATAAAAGGTAGGGAATGTGACACTTCAGAAAATAAAATAGAAAGCAGAGATGCTGAATATACTCAACTGACAACAAACAAAATTTGCTACTAACCGTTTAATTCTGATGGAAATCAAATTTTCACTTGTCTGTGCAGCACAATTTCCATCATTGGTGGCAAGAATGTGAACAGTAAAGTCAGCCATGATTTCGACATCCAAACTCTTTAATGAGTTTGAAGAACCTTAGCACTTATTTTAATGAAAAAGTGGGAATTTAACCTACTAATTTCAATTCACTTTAGATGTATGCCTGACAGTTTAGGAACTTCACCAGAGAATTTAGCAACAACCTTTAGACTTTCACCGACAGAAATCTTTCACTTAATACTTAAGATCAGAAGGCATGACCCGCCAGGTCATAAAATGGGGTTAGACTTTGACGCTTCGACTTCTACATCTCATACTGGCGTGCCATGGTGAGCAGGGAACAATAGCATAGAGAAGTCATGGGATCCAATCGATAGGAAAGAGTGGAGAGAATTTGAGACGTCCATTTGAGTGCCTATTTATTTCTTGGAACACATGATACTAACCATAATAATAGTCATTTTATGAGCAATAACATGCAGTTTGCAAGAATATCCGTATCTCTACGGTTGTGTTTTTTCTAAATATATTTTTAATTTCTTTTTAATTTCTCACGCGAGAGTATTTCTTATTCAAAGTCTTTCACGGCGTTACATTATGTCACTGTTGGCGTGAGTGTGCGCTGTTTGCATTTATTATCACTTTATTTGGGGATATTCTTCCTTCTTTTCACTGATGATTATATATTGTAGGTGATTTCTAATGTACAACTGATATAAAAATATACGTTGGTCACAGTGGTATATTGCAACTCCATCTACAACGACATGGATCGGAACAGTGAAGCTGGGATAGTCATATTGTTAGAAGGCACGATTTTAGCTAAGGGAAGAATGATTAACCACAAGAAGTTCGATGCTTCTGAGTAAATGGCAGAATTCTTAAAAATTACATTAACCTGAAAACACACATTAACCATGTAGAGGAAGATTCCTATCACCGAATCCTTCTTCAGCGAATCTTTACGTAACACGTGTAACTTGAATGACAAAATATGAAGAAGACTGACGTGGAAAATATTATTATCAATAAAACCAATTGATACAAAATAGGAAACGACGTCTATAAGCTATTTAAATGCCTTAATGTGGCTATGAGGACTAAACTATGCTCAAATTCTTATCAGTGAATAATATTGTATTGTATTGGGCTTTGATAAAATACATTTTGTCTTTGAAGTAAAAAAGAAGTTACTTCGGATTGCTAAGAATTATTCAACACATTATGGTATGGTGGGCGAATTTTCTATGATTTCCTGCATTAGCTTCTCATACGTCCTAATACTAGTGGTTGTGTAAATCATTTTACACTGAATATCGCCACTCAATTAATAGTCCTTATTTTAACAATATTGGTATTTTTAAATATTATTTGTCTGTTAAGATCCTTATTTAGAATTACATCGAGTGTCATTATGAAGACGATTGTTGTGCGCATCAACCGTTTTTATTCAAATGCCTATTTTCTTACTATTAGACTTTTCATCTCTTCTCTAATCAACAAAATATTTGTTCATTTGATATTTAGAATAATAAATCGTTATTTCTAATAAAGTAACATTTACTGAGTAACATTTTTAGAGTACATAGTTCGAATATCATTCAGGAGATTCATGAACATGAACGAAATATTCTTATATTTAGTCATAAAAAAAGGCACAAACAGCGAAGAAAATTTTCTTTTTGACGATTCATTTTCATGAGCTGAACAATCGTCGAAAAGAAAATTTTCTCCGCTGTTTGTGCCTTTTTTTATGATTCATGAATAAGCACAGAGAAAAAAAACTAAACTCTGTTATTTTCATCTCCTGAATACATTTACGATATTTCACTACTTATTGTAATTGGTGTTGAGCAAAGTCCCTCTAATTCATTTTGAAAAAAATAACACAACACAAATTCTATTTATCATAAGTGTTCTGAGAATTATTTCTCCTGAAACCACTAAGACGATAGTTCAAATGTTTTGACTATCGGCTCACTTGAGTGTATTGTTTAAATAAGTAGTCAGCAGGAATCGATGATTGTTGTGGTGACAAGCTGCATCCTACTGATATCTTATGCTGAATAGGTTTCTTAATCTTTTACTAGAGAAATAAGAATCAACTGACATTATGGTTTTTGTGTTCAGATATCTGGACGAGATTAGTTATAATAATATTTTGCTTTATTGCAAGACAGTGTGTAATCTTCAACATTTCGTTTATTGTCGTATCTATTTTTATCTAATAATAATTCAAACAGTTATATTGATAATATCACACGTTTGCTATTTACAGTTCTTTTATGGTAATTGCAGTGACAATGAAGTCATATATGTACCTACATATGAAACCGTGAATATTAGCGATTTCAAAACATCTCCCTGCAAAAGTTAGGCGATTACCTTATACATGCTTGCATATTCCATCAATATATAAGATGCACATTTAAGATACGACTTTATGTTTCAAAATACGCCTATCTGCGGCAAGTTGTGATTGTTGGAAATTTTATATCCGACTGTATAAAAAAATCGTCCTACTCATTGTTAACTCTTGTGATTTGTTGTGCTCGAACTTTGACAACCGGTGTAAATCAATTTGAGAGCCAATGAAAAGCCGGGAAGCACGGGACAGCTGTTTTGTTATAGTTTGGGACTCTTAGACATTATCTACTCAGCGTGTCTCAGGGATTTCCAGCACCAAGGTGAGCTAGTAGTTCATCCAGCTAGTGAATGTTCCATGTTATCCAACCTCCGTCTATTCACGATATATATATGTACAGCGCAACAATCAGCAGATTTTATAGGACGGAAACTGATATATTGCCTTACTTGTTGGACCACAGATATCTTGACTTCTCACTAGGACTATAGGAAACGTCCTCTAACGGGCCAGTGAATAGTGACCATCAGAATGATTATCGTATGCAGGTTTTCAGTTATTAGATTGCTTGAATGCTTGGTCATCCACTCACGTCTACTACCGAACCAATGAATGTCCTACTAGTACTGATAATTCCTCGTTTGTGAGATACATAATGAGTGGAAGTAATAAAGAAAATTCATCAGATTTTAATAATAAATTTCAGAGAAATTTCTTAAAAACTCGTCTTTTCAACTCCAAGTCAAAAAATACCACATAGAATTGCACATATATTTTTGATATTTTCACTTCTATTCTCCTATCAAATATTTCTGACATTTATGTTTAACAGTATACTAAAGAAGTGAAATCAGTGATGTGCTTAAATCAGAGAAAGACAACGAGCGTCATCATTTTTTCTGTAAAATTAGATATCTATCTGCAGTCATAATGTCTTGTGAATTGTTGGAAATGGCGTAGTTCAACTCAAAAAATGAATAAAGGGTAAATTGATTGTTGTGAAAAATTATTTTTCATTATATTTAATTACATCAGTCTTGAACATTGTCTAATTTGAAGGTTGCATACGTCTGTGTGAACTGGCATATAAATAAAAACCAAATAAAGAAGGATATAATAAATTCTGAGGAATCGGGTGCGAAAAATGCCATTATCCAACGTCGAAGACTAACGAAGATGAACATTAGCTAAAAGGTGAAGAAACGAAAATGATTGGGACAGAGAACAGCAATATAAGTATTTACAGCTATGCAGAAATCATTGTTGCACATCACGGAAGTCTTATTTCTAACGTGCTGATCTTATTAACGTATTCACCGAGTGAAGTGTACACAAAGCTAACAGTATTTTGAAGTTTATAGTGGTTTTATGGAACTCGCATGTATATATATATATATAGATATATATATTCAACTTGATGGGCATTTTATGCAGATAAAACTAATCTTACCTCAAATATTCACACTCGCTATATTGTAAGCAACACTGACTAATGTCCACTTGACATGTGAATGCTGAACTGAGATAATTAGTTCATATCCTGCCCAAATTTCCCACCTGATGTTTATCTGTAAAATGTGCCACCATTAGTTGCCTTCAAACAAATAATTTGAAAGTGATAATCTCAGTAATGATAAGTCGAATCTAATCAAATATTGGTTTTTCTCACATTATAATGAATTGAAAAAATATTAAGGTTAATTTGTAGCTTTATTGGCAGTAAAAATATGCCATTTAGTAACTTATCTTCATCAAACAGCTGATTCCCTAACCATGATGTGATTTCGAGGAAACCAGAATTAAAAATACTGATATAATCACGAACTTACAATGACTAAAAATAACCCAAATAGAACTGTTGACAGAATGGAGAGTATCATAGTCTAAAATGCAGAATAAATGCAAATTTTAAAAAAATTCGCTTAAGCAATCCGAATTTCGTGAATTATTTAAGTACACACTTATCAAGATAATTTATTTTGTACGTAAATGCTTGCTTCTGTGCTTCAGTCGTATAATCGTGAAAAACTATTCATTTAGTCGAGGTAACATTTCTGACTGAGGCGTTTTTCGTAAACTCGTTGATAAGAGCGGAGAATAGATTGCATGGGATTGAGGTTAACAACCCTATCTCGTATTGACATAACGTCATCATAATTCAGACCTTAGGCTTAACACTCAATAGTGGACTCAGAAGGCAGAGTCCAGTACAGTAATAAGGCTTCTAAATGGTTGTGAAACTACTAAGGACGTTTTTAGATGAAAGCTAGTAATCAGATATATTGAAAGAATTCGTAGCCATATCTTCCAAATGTTTTCAATTAAATAATGTCCACTTCATAGGAAGCTATTTACATTGTGGACGAAATCTTGATATTTTCTCTGGAATATTTTAACTGTCACAATCAAGCTCAAGAATGATGATAACAAGAATAATTAATTGCTTATATAAAGCTAATTTATCGAACTGAGCTGGCTTTTTAATTTCTTTTTTTAAGCAATTAAGAGGAGCAGCAGACGCTAGTCTTCATCATTTTTATCATTTTGTCATGACTTACATATACACTATCGAAAACAATTATTTTTATTATGGTCAGGTAATAGCAAATCTTTGCAATGACTGCTAAAATTGCACAAGAGATTGACAATGAAAAGAAAACAGTAAAACCCTTTCCATTTAAAGGCGGCAGCTTCAAAGCCGCCACGATAGTAAACGTTGTAATCACAGCTGTCGTAATCAGCAATATCCATCCGTATGGCATGTCAAACGGTGTAAATGCAACAGTGGAGGCGACAGACCACAGGAGAACCCGTCAAATGGAAAAAAGCGACCAAAAATGGAAAATAATCCTCATGATGAATGAATAACTTCTGTTGTATAAATGAGGTTATATGCTCGTTTCAACGAGAATAAAATGACTGATGGATGATAATGATAATATTATTATTCGTAAAAATCAAATAACCACTTTCTTTTTCACCGTAATCGTTTCTGATTTCACTCATCCTCCCTTACTAGTATATAAACTGTTCAAAAATGGTGAAGGCGTGATAAAGTAAACCTTGATATCTACAATAAGGCAAACGCTTAGGATGTCATGTTTCTACAAGATGAAGAAATTCACTTAGTTTTGGATAGTTTCAAGCATGTGAGTTGAAGTTGCAACTGTATATGAAGATCAGATGTTTGCGTCAATTTTCATTTGTGTCCGGAATGGAATGCTTCAACATGCAACAACTAAAGTTTGTGAACCGCATTCTCTCTTGCTGGTTAGCAAAGGAGTGCATATTGTTGAATATAATTCTAGTTTGCGTTTAGCTTCCCCCCTATTCTGCTGTTTTATTGATATACACACGTGAAGAAGACAGCACTTTAGATTTCAAAAGTTAGATATCATCAAACGAACGTCAGTTTACATCAAAAACTGTGGTATTTGGTTTCGTTCAAACTGGTTATTAGCGATTTTCTGCTACCGATTCTTCCACGACAGATTACCTACGTATGCGTAGACCATCACAACTTTTGATTCGTTTATGATATTTCGAAGTGATGTCGATTCATTTAACCAACTTCAATTATCTTTAAACAAATTGAATTTATGTCCCTAGTTTCGCAAATATATAAGAACAAAACTTTCTTCAACCTCACAGGCTTTCTCTAACACCATTCATGAATACATGATTGTTACAATAACGCTGATTGTGAGGAATGATGCAAATAACATTAACATGCGTTGATAGTGTGTAAACCACCAAAGCTGACAAAGAAACTATGGACTCTGAAGTCTGAGAACTATTAGGAGATGCAATTATTTAATTATGTGAATAGAAGTCAGTTATTCCTGCACAACTTGATAACAGGACAATGGATCTCAAAATACATTAACCATAAAGTCATTGGATTTATTTTGGTGCATGACAGTCACTTAGCAAATGGTGCTTATATTTCAAACTATAAATTACTTTCTTATGTTAAACAACTATATAAGTTCTATTGATATACGTTTTACCGTGTTGCAACAAATACTCGCCGTCCCCGTCATTTCTGTGCGTATTCTTAGTGTCAGCACTTCAATCTCTTATTTTTTTCTTGTATAGACGTAATAGCTAAACAAAGCTGCAATTCGGTGCTGTCTGCAGTTATACAATTTCGGAAATGGTATGGAATATGAATACTTCGGGGAAAGACTATATGAAACTGATACTTACTACAATTCCGAGAATGATACGGGAAGCGAAATATTTCGAATGAATTTCTCTGACAAATAGAAATAGAAGCAAGAAAACAGCACCAACTGCCCTTAAAAGAAATCCCAAAGGCAAATAGATCAGCAAGTGCTTTCCTAAGAAGAAATTATTCTCAACAAATACAGAAAGTTAATTGGATTGTGGGAAGAGAGATATTCTGAAAAAGGGAATATATAGGTTTACTTGTCACTCATGAAGTGGGCTCAGTACATAAACTGTGATCACAGTAGTCATTGCTGTAATATATCGAAGCGTGTTAATCCCTTTTGTAACACAATAAAAAGTGACACGTTCCGTCAGGTATGTGAAGTAATTCAAAATTGAAAGAAAAATGCTGAAGAGACAACTTACAAAATGAGATATACGAAATTGAAATGACTCTCGAAGAAGTGAGAAATAACTTCCCTGAAAATCAAAACAACGTTCATTTATTAACTATAATTTCATCTTACACTTTATGATATAAGATGACAGTACCAACTGTGACAAGTATCAAAAGAAGTAAATCCACTATGAACTAAGCACGCATGAAGTATTTCAACAGAATGTGATATTCTTACCCATGTAGTAGAGAAATAAGTGACCTTTTGATTTTGATGAAACTTGGTAAACGAATGAACCTTGGATGAATCATAGGGAACCATAATACGACGTGCTGAAATCTGAAGAGAAAGAATAATTTGACGGAGTATTCAGGCTAGAATGAATGCAAACTTGACAAATATGTGAACCAAGAGTTACATATAGATTCAGCTATTCCATCATCAAGTAATTTGGTAAAAGCTCCCTGTCTTATATCATTATTTACTGGTTTTATTTCGAGCAAGGTTTTGGATTATGGGTATAAAATCTGGACAGCGTCATAAGAAGACGGAGATTGTTTGAAAAATGTGATGTATTTGCGCTGTACATTTCGAAAAATCTCATCACACATTTACTTGTCAAGTCGATACATATGCAAAAGTTAAATTAAGCAAAGTGACTGAAAAAGGATTTAAGAATGATTAACACAACGTTTGGTAATCCAATCAAATAAAGATTACCAAGGTAGGTTAAGAGTAATAATAAACTGTTTTTGAACACACGGGGGAGCGGGGCTGAAGTTTATGAATAACTATAGCCTTGGCGTATTTCAATAAGTGCCCTTGAGCGTTTTTATAGATGACTTTAAAGGCTGAGTCAACATCAGTCTTACGGTTCATCTCGATTAGGTGTTCAGCTATAGACGAAGTTGGTACTCTGACACCTGCATCTATTGGTTTTTCACAATTCATTTGTTTTTCGAAACATTTTGGGATATACTTTTCCCCTCGCATGCGCGATTAGTCCTACCTATCTATGTGTGACCACACGCACACGAAAATTGGTAAATAGTGTGGGATGTGACATAATCACTTGTGCACTTTTGAGGTTTGCAGTGGAGCATATTTTTAGCTTTTTCGACAATTACAAGCTGGGCTGCATGATAGGTTCTACGGATAATCGAATTCAACCTTTGTCTCAAAATCTTACTGTTTATTTACCCGTTATATGGTTATTTCATGAAAACATTTTTCATAGAGACGGTATGGATGGTAGGTTTAAAAACTAATTGACTTCAACACCTGTTTAAAAAATCTAAAGGTATACGTTCTCGACAAGAGTACTCATCATTATTTCGTGTCTCTCTACCAACTTTGTCTATAGCTAAACACCTAATCGAGATGAACCTTAAGACTGATGTTAACTCAGCCTTGAAAGTTATCTATAAGTACGGTCTAGAACGCTATAGTTATTCATGAACTTAAGCCTCCCCCCCCGTGTGTTCAAAAACAGTTTATTATTACTCTTAACCTACCTTGGTAATCCTTATTTCATTGGATTTCCAAACGTTGTGTTAATCGTTCTTAAATCCTTTTTTGCCATTTTTTAAATTTACCTTTTTCATATATATCGACTTGACAAGTAAATGTGTGATCAGACTGCTCGAAATGTATTATGCAAATATATGACATTTTTCAGATAATTATCGTCTTCTAATAATGCTATCCAAATTTATGAAATGGACTAATTGTTTTAATAAAATGTGATCTAAATCTAAATGGTGTTTCGCTATGTACTTTCAGTAGATAAATCTTCCTCATGACGGAAGTGTATTCTAACACAGTTCCCAGAGGCCTTTTGCTATAACAATATTGATGTTGTTGAATGTAATAAATCATGAAGTGCACATACTTGGTTAAAATTCGACAGACGCACTTGCTGGTGATTTTCAGAAGTTAAATATTTATTACTCGATAACGGTTTGTTGATCAGGAATGAAGCTTTTCTAGTTAGAACTTATTAAATTCACAAAAGGACTTCAGAAAAGTCAACGTCTTCCAAATGACCCGAAAGAAAAACTCGATAGAAATATTTATTAAAATTGCATTAGTAATTAAATAAGTGACTCACTGTCGCCAGGCTAAGGATGTTTCATCTAAGAACCTCTTTCATGCATGACTCGTCAATGGGAAATGAATTTTTAAAAATGCAGCCATTGCGCAATGTAACTAAATGAATTGAAGCTTAAATCTCAACACCAACTGATTAGGCATAATTTTTATTTCCCTCCTAACTGAAATATACACCACAGATGTTCATGTTGGATAAAGCAACTTAGGCTTGGTTGACTGTTAACTTAAAATCGCTATGTGAATTCTCATGTTAATTAAAATTTAAGAACAAATCAAGCAAACCATTACTGACTTACATGAAGTAACTCCTCACTTCAAACTAACTCGTTTCAGAATATTCAGGTAATTTCTTTGAAACATTTGTAAACATATATATGTATATACTGATATATATATATATATATGCTTGTTTAGTGCTGCGTAATCGACACGATTACATATGATTGGCCATAGTATGTTTTGTTTCTTATCATTACTAAACTTCACACTTAATGATTTTTTCTCAACAATTGTCATATTTTAAATATGAATTTTGAACCCTATGCACACATTACAAATTAAATATTTGAACAAAGTGATAAGAACACACAATAGAAGTTGAACAGGATTCACTGTTTATTTCATTGTCATCTTTCCGGCTGTATACAGCCTTAATAATGAAATGTATTAAATCTGATACTGTTTTATGTTACTCCAGTTCATTTCAGGTAAAGTGTGAGAGAGTGAATAAGAGTGACCTTTTCATGTAGATGAATGAACAAAACAGAACAGTTTAGCAATGGTTACAACATGTTATTGCTGCACGTAAACTTCAAGATAACACAGGACATTAGAAACCAATAAATTATATGTGACAAAATATTGCATAATGTTTATGGATGTTTATTTCTCTTCCTTCCATTTAATTGGCATTAAGATTCATATGAATTCTTCCTCATTGAGTGAAGCAGTGCGAGAAAATAGTCAACGATCTTTTTGCATAAACTTGCATTCAATCACACAAAAAGGTTTTATAATAGCCCAAAAACCAGAAGTAATATATTTATGTAGGAAGCAAAATTAATCATGAATCTCTCCTTAATTTTACCGAAATCAATCATTTGCAAATGACATGACGCAACACCCATCTTGAGTATACCAAAAGCTTAAATGGAATTTAGACTGGATTAAGGTGTAGGAGGATCAAGAGTATAACACTTAACAACCAAGCACATGATCCGGGGTTTGCGTTAGTCGACGCACTTCCAAACCTATTTGAACTAGTAGTAACGTCGGTGAAGGGTAGAAAGTTGAACGTGATGTTGGCAACAACAATGCGTTGAAATGAACTCACTTTAACCGAAGCTTTGAATATCTGGCTTGAAGCCCCTTGTTCCATGCTGAATGTAAATTGCTAAAATTAAATAAATAATAAAATTTGGTGTAAAGTTTTGAATATGGGAATCAAGATGAAGTGTGATAACATTATGATCTTTAAATCGTGCTCAAAACGATTTACAGTTATAACTTTTTTCAGCCTTGTATAAAGTAAACCTATTTAATATGAAACCATATTTCACCACAACAGCCTTATTTTGTTCACAAATTAATAATCGTTATTCTTCTTAAAATGAAGCAAATCGTCCACAGTATCATGAAAGCCTTACTTACTTTCCTAGACGTCACACACATGTGGAGAATGAGGGTAAGATAAACACAAAGCTAAAAAACGAATTCGAATGGTAAGAAGTGCATTCAAACGAATTCTACTGGGTAAAAAATTCGAGTAATTGGAATTTTCTTTGTTAACAACTATACATTTTTGGTAAATAGAAATATGAGTGTACAGCCTCTGGAGATGATTTCGTCGATGAAGAAAATTTTTTTTCTCTGAATTAGTCTTTTAATTTCCACTCATCTGTATGAATGACGTGAAACCAAGGTCGACTTGCACTTTGCTTTATACTTCAAAGCATACAGAAGGGTAGACTGAGAGTGGGGCTTCCTAAAATATCAGCGTAATAATTAGAGTGAAGATGACATTGACTGTAGAAGTGGAACAGTTTATACTGTCGTAGAATATAATTCGATATAAGACTAGTTCGTTGAAAATAGCACAGTGTCATAATGTTTTAAATTGGATGATGTCTCTATGACAATTTATCTCTCATAATCATGTCATAAGATTGTACTATTATTAAATAGTTTATTTGCGAGGTGTGGGAAGGAGAATATCCACATATGGTGAGCAAACCTTTATACTCAGTTTTAAATATTTTGTGCGCCGGTGGCACAGTGGTTAGGACTCTCGCCGACCATGCACATGGTCCGAGGTTCGAGTCCACGACGACGCACACCTGATATCTATGATCAGCCTGCAAAATTTGGGCTACCGATATCCATGCTGAAAATTCCATACTTGTACCAAAAATACAGTGTGGAAATAAGCTGTAATCAAAAAATAAATAAATAAATAAAAAATAAAAATAAAAAAATAAATAGTTAAAAATATAATCATCACTAAGCTGCATGCGATTCATCTTTGATTGAAAGTAATCACGTTTCTATGACAAGAACCTTCAGAACTTGACGTTTAACAGAGAATGAGATCATCATAAGTGAATCATGGTGAGTAGCTCAGTTTCACAAATAATGAAAATTTGATCGTCAACAAGCCATCATGGAATGAATTATGAGCAAACATAAACAAAATATTACTTGACATTTCGAATTGGCAGTGACGCGTTCTTGAAGATCTCCAGTTTCAAGATCATGTGAAGGTAAGGAAGAAAGACTAATTTACTCACTAATTGGAAATACTAATCACATATATGACTCAAACATATCTCATTTCACATTTAATGTATTTGTATGAGGTATTTCCCTTGAATATTGTCAAGAATGCATGCGTCTATGAGTTTGATAGTGTCTATTTATTTCTTTCAGACTCAGTAAATGATGCTGAGATTACAAGGGCGTATTGGAAAGCTCGTTTTGATTTCGACATCGCTACAGGTAATTTTACATTGTTATTTAAGTCGATCACATAGTTCTAGTGTTGAACGCATTTCTCAATGAACTTCATTTTCGTGAGAGACAAAAGTAGGTGGTATGCCTAATGATGTGTTTATTATCAAGTCGTCGTATTTGCTTATACCAAACCATTGATAAAATTAGCAATATTACTCGTCACACTAACATTGGAATCTGCAAACTGTTGGACAGTTAGT